GAGCTGCAGCAGCGTGGTCAGCTTCGTCTTTCGTACGTGGCCACTCGGGCCAACACTGCTGATGTGTTCACCAAGGCGCTTCCGCCTTGTGATCATCAGCGTTTCTGTACTGTTCTAGGCCTTGTGCCTACTGTCCCTCACTTGCTCACTTCTTGACTCTGCTTGTACTGTGATCTCTATATATATACCTGCATGCTTACACTTGCTAGGTTGTGATCACTGTACCTCTTGTTATATTATCAAACTGCATGTGAACTGGTCTTGTGACCACTTGCTTGTGCTCGGAATTTGTGTGGTATCCTTGAGATCCACCCTGAGCTTGCTTTGCTTTGCTTTGCTTTGACTGGTCTTGTGACCCCTAGCTCTCCCCCACTTAGCCTATGGGGGTGTGTCAAACATTATATGTGTTATAGTTTGTAGGCTACAGTGGGTTAGCCTCTAGGGGGTACATTGCTCTAGTGTTTTGTACTTGTACTCTCATTCTTGCTAGTCCAACCACTTCTTGTTTCTGACAAGTGGCTACTATTTCAGCTTTAGTTGAAGCGGCGGTTTTCGGATACAAATAACAGTGATAGACCGTCGATAATCCCATCGTGGGATTCAGTTGCAGTACCCCTTCGAAACCGGCTCAACCCTTCCGCGCGATTTGCTAATTTGCTTTCCTACAATTACCATGACACGTGCAACACGTAACCAAGCAATGGAGGAGGAACAGGCCGGCCGCCGCGCGACAAGGAGGACGTCTAAACAAATCGATAGGGAGAGTGGTGGCGGCGCTAAAAAAACTAATGCGTCCGTCGCGCGTGGCATTGGGCAGAAAAATGCGGCGGCAAAAAAGGTCGCGCGCGGTCAAGAGGAGGCCGGCAAGAAAGCGGAAGACAAGGGGCCTAAACCAACGCCACGCAAGCGTGTTTCTACAGTGAACAAAGATGCGGATGTTGCCTCTGCTGGAACCGAGCCCGGTCCGAGTAACGACGGCACCACTGGCGGCAACGAAGATCCGGGGCGAGGGAGCGCGAGTCTTGCAGTCTCGTCGGCGGAGATAGAGGGATTGACGACAGGGGGAAACCACGGAGGCGATCCCCGCGCCGAGCATGCCGCAACCAAGGAGTCCGAGGCGGCGGCATCGCAACACCATCTGACGCTGCTCCAGCCGACCGTGATCGAAGTTTCTGCAGCCGTGCTGGATAAGGACAAGGTGGGGGAGCACGAGTCGGTGGGGCTGGTCGGTGGCTCTCCTCCTTCTGGTGGACGGGGGAGGCGTAGGCAGAGGAAGAGCGATGGGGAGGACGATTATGACACCGCCGTGCCCGGGGACCTCACCACGCGGGCGAAGAGGCGGCAGACGACAGGTAGTGCTGATGACGCCGGAGGCGCGGAAGTTGGGGCAACGCGAGGCGCCAAGGAAGCTAGTGGCAAGGCGGGCGGTCAAGCATTGCGCCAGAAGGGCCGACCCGCAGCAAGAAAAACATCCGGCGGAAGGAGAGGCAAGAAAGCAGCGACGGGGACGAGGCCGAAACGGGGCAATGAAGACCCTGGTGATGTGGAGGAGGAGGAGGATGAGGAGGAGGATGCGGAGGAAGAGGAGGATGAAGAGGATGCGGAGGAGGATGACGCGGATGTTGGGGAGGATGAAAAAGATGAGAATGATGGCGGGGAGGACGAAGAGGAGGAGGAGGAGGAGGAGGATGATGATGAGGAGGAGGAGGAGGAGGAGGAGGAGGAGGAGGAGGAGGAGGAGGAGGAGGAGGAGGAGGAGGCAGAGGAGGAGGAGGAGGAGGAGGAGGAGGAGGAGGAGGAGGAGGAGGAGGAGGAGGATGTGGCGCCAGTGAAGGGACGGGGCGGGCGTGGCAGACGGGTGAGTGGTACAGGGAAGGTGGGGGGCCGGACTCGCCCTTCCCGAAAACGCGGGGCAGTTGACGCCGCGCGCGGCGAAGAAGCGGGCAAACCGAAGGCGCGTAAGGTGAAGGTCGAAAGTGAAGGGGGTGGTAAAAAGCAAGGGAGCCAGGGAGCAAAAGGGGATGGAGGAGGAAAGGGTGGCCGCGCCAAAGGGGTTCCAGTGGGTACCGGCAAGAAAGAACCTGCCGGTAAACGTCGCAGCGTCCGCCAAAGCACCCCGCGGAAAGGTGGCAACGAGAAGGCGCAGGCTGCCCCAAAACCGAAGGGACAGCAGAAAGGTGAGCATTGTGGCCAATACAACTGGCGTGGTTGTTGAACCATCTGCTAAACCGTGCCAAATAACACCCTTTTTTCACATTGTTTCTCCCCTGCAGGGAAGGAGAAGGTCGACGAATCTGCCAAGCAAGGTAAACCCTCTTGTCTCAAACCAGTACAACCCTAAACCCGATCTAGATTCAAACCTTTGATGTTATGGATGCATGTCTGGCCCCGTATTGAAACCGATCGACTCTAATTTTTTTATCCTACTCCCTCTACATCTCAGCCCCTCGCGTTACAGGCATTGGGCCACCCGTAAGCGTGCAACGAATGCAGCTAACGAAGGCTGCCGGAAGAGCGAGTGTTACACCGCTATCCACAGGAGCACCAAGGTTCTACACGCCATGGGCCGGCCCGAGCAAAGTCGCTGCGACGGCACCCGGCGCGCCAAGAGGAGAGGAATCCGAATCCCCTCCACCCGCCCCCGTCACGCACTCCCCACTTGCCTCACCCTCGTACCCATTTCGGCAACTCCACGCTTCTCCTGTCCGGGGCAGGGCGGTCTCCCCCCTCGCCGGTCCTTCGCGCGGGCATCAGGCAGGCACTCCAATCCCTTCCCTGAGCTCCCCTTTTCCCGCCAGCGTGATAGTGTGAGGGCACACGGGACTGCTGCAGAAGACGTTGATCCCCTTGGCCAGAGGGGGGATTCTTCACACCCTTTTCCTCCGCTCATGGGTGCCCTAGGTGAAAGTGCGGAGCACGAGCAGTTTGTTACACGGGAGGAGTTCCAGGCGCTGCGGTCTGAGATGTACGCCATGTTTGCACAGCTCGGCCTGCGTCGTGGAGTACTTGCCAGCTATGCCGGCGGGTCGGCAGCCCTGCCTATGGCTGGTACCCCGCCGCCGATGAGCGCCGTGGACAAGGCACGAGTGCTAGTGTTGCAGGAGACAAACCCATTCCCGGTATGTGGCGGGCCAAATGGGGCGGGTTGGGGTTGACGTGGCAACCAGGGCGGGGTTGGGGCTGACGTGGCGGTTTCGAAGGGAACACAGGAGCGGCGCGTGAGGAGGCGACGCGTATCAGGTGGGTGGGGGGTGACGTGGCATGGGGTGGGTGGGTGTGACGTGGCAAGTGGCGCGGGTTGTTGGTGGACGTGGCGGATGCAAGTGGGTGTGACGTGGCAAAAGGTGAGGGTTGAGATATGACGTGGCGGTGTGAAAGGGTGCAAGGGAGTGTCGCATGACGGGGCGCGGCGTTTCAGGTGGGTGGGGGGTGACGTGGCTCTTGGTGGGGGGTGTGACGTGGCAAGTAGGGCGGGTTGGGGTGTGACGTGGCGGAATGTGAGGGTTGGGGCTGACGTGGCGGTTTGGAATGGTACACGGGAGCGGCGCGTGACGAGGCGACGCGTGTCAGGTGGGTGGGGGGTGACGTGGCATGCGGTGGGAGGGTGTGACGTGGCACGTGGGGCTGGTTGTTGGTGGACGTGGCGGATGCAGGAGGGTGTGACGTGGCACGTGGGGCTGGTTGGTGGACGTGGCGGATGCAAGAGGGTGTGACGTGGCGGAAGGTGAGGGTTGGGGATGACGTGGCGGATGCAGGTGGGTGTGACGTGGCGGAAGGTGAGGGTTGGGGATGACGTGGCGGGTTGAAAGGGTACACGTGACCACTGCGCATGACGAAGCGAGGCGTGTCAGGTGGGTGGGGGGTGACGTGGCTTGTGGTAGGGGGGTGTGACGTGGCAAGTGGGCCGGGTTGTTGGTGGACGTGTCGGATGGCGCAGGGTGTGACGTGGCAAGTTCACACAGTGTTGCTAGTCACTATCCCCTGGTCACGCGGCCACCCTCATAACTGCTGGTTTCTCTCTCCCATGTCGTGTTGTATACCTTACACCCTTGCGCAGAACAAAGCCTACTTAGCGTGCTCTCAGCTCATGTTTCTGAACCCGCCGGAGAAAATACAGTACTACCCTGCACCGGAGGAAGTGTTCGACGCATTCTCTGTCCACTTGTCTGCAGAAGGGCTCGAGGCAATGAAGCTGCTGTGGTTGCACAATGACAAGTCAACCATGGGAGTCTTCAACCACCAGCTGTCCTCAACAAGGTCAACTATCAACTCCACCCTCAGGCAAGCAGCATACACCGGCATGGGCCTTGCCGATTACAGCCATCTCGTGGATAGCCTGCCCACTGAGCTACACCCAACGACCTGGTTCGACGACGATCAACTCCTAGCCGAGTACAGAGATGGTATGTGCAGTGCAACTCGAAAACACAATATGCCCTACCATATGCCAGTTGGCAGCTACATATCACCGTGCGATGTGGCTCACCCTGACTCTCATCCCCCCACTTGATTTCTCTACAAAACCCTTTCCAACCCATACCCTCCCTGCCAAAAAGCAGAACAGTGGGCCCTCAACTGGCACTTTGACAAGGCCACCGGGACACCCTTCAGCAACCCCTTGTTCGCTTATGCGTTCAAGCTCTCCTTCAAGAGGGGCGGGGCCGTGTTCACCAAGTTTAAGAGCCGCATGGTGGCATGGGGCCTGTTTTCGGTAAGGATGTAATGTGTTTGTACCCCCATGCCTCATCCCCTTAACCCCTTGCCTGTACTTCAGCTAAATCCCTGGTCGATTAGGCCTTTGCAGTTACGTAGATAGTGACGACTGCATCACCGCTTTCAGTTGCCTCATTTACCCGTAACCTACCCTCCTCATAAACCATCCAACCAACCCTACACCACATTGCAGATCGAATGGCCCCTTCTCCAGGATAAGCGTCGCAAGCGAATCAGTAGCCAGCCGGAGCAGAACAGACCAGACTACCAGGAGTGGTGCGAAAAGGTCAAACAGATGATCCGGGGCGAGGGAGCGTGAGTCTTGCAGTCCCGTCGGCGGAGAGAGAGGGCTCGGCGACAGGGCCGTGCTCCTGCCTGTTTGCGGCCACGGCAGCAGCAGGCGTTTCGGCGCTCGCTGCGGCCATCGTCACGTCTTCCGCCGCCGGGGCTCCGCCCTGCTCTCCAGTCGCAACGGACACCGCCGCGGCCAGCACAGCCGCCGTTACAGGTGCCGGCGACGCGGACAACGCCGCCTCCGCGGTCTGCTCTAGATCCGCGTCCGGACTCGGCTCCTCAGCCTCCGACTGTGCAGCCCGTGGGGCGGCAGAGGGTGAAGTTGAGCCGCCGCCAAAGGCAGCGGCAGAACCGCCAGCAGATGCCGGCTCCGCCACCGTCTCTGCCGCAGACGCCGCAGCAGCAGCCTCCTCATGCCTCATTTCACCTGCCATCCTGGGTACCACAGCGTCCACCAGCATAGTCCCCTCTACGTCGTTTTCCTCTGCCCTTCCAGCCACAGCCGCCTCAACCCCCGATGCCCCAAATTCCACCGTCACCTCTCCTGCACGTCCCAAGCCCGCCTCCTCCCCCTGCCTTTGTTCCTGGCGCGCCCCCAACTCGCGTCGAGCAGCGCGTGATGCACGTTGGGACATGCATGACGCTCCTGTCGTACGTGCTCGATCAGCTGCACGTGACACTTGTCCAGCAGGAGGTGCAGATCGAGGCGATGCAGCCGGCGGAGCAGTCAGCGGCGGTGGTGGTGGCGGAGGAGCTGCAGCATTACCTCCCCCTGATTGGCTATGTGCCAGGCTCCCCTGGGGCTGCCCTCGGGCCCGGCCCTGGAGCATTGGCGCGGCTTGCTGATTCTGCCCGGGACGACCCGCTGGATCTTGTAGCAGCAGCCGCGTCCGTCCTGCGCAGGCTGGACGGGAGACTGTGTTGGATCCTCGTTGAGTAGCGGTAGCCTTCCCTTTGCCAGCCCCCTTAGAAGCGGCTCTGGCTTTGGGCTTCCCCATGGCGGTGTTCTCACGCCCGGGGGTGTTGTTGTAGCTGATGTTGCACTATGCCTGCATGTTGTACTGCCCCATGTTGAGTTGCCTGGAGCTTTCTCCCTTGTCACACCTCACGCGCGGTTGGAGGCCGCGCCGGCGTGCTGCGGCCGTCGAAGGCGGCCGGCGCGAGCCGCCGGTTTTTGGGGAGTAAAATGAACTCACCAGTGAAGAATGAGCTCAAAGGACTCCTCACTAGGTGCTTTATACTAGGGAAACGGCCCTGGAAACGTCTAAGGACTAAGGACTAGGCAGGAGAGGGAGGAAATTGGCTAAGGACTAACCCCAAGCCATCTCTCTCTCTCTCTCTCTCTCTCTCTCTCTCTCTCTCTCTCTCTCTCTCTCTCTCTCTAACGGTCGTTTGTATTGATAGGTGGGGCTGGTACAGACATGCAGATTCTAGGGAAGGGCACATCTAGCACGGAGACAAGCAAACAGGGACATGCAAACAGAACCTTCAGAGCACCAAACCTAGCGAACACACACCTCTACCCTCCCTCCCCCCCCCCCCCCCTTTTCTATCTAAGGTGCCTCTAGCGTTGAGAAACAGTCCCCCGAGTTCATCTCCCCCTCTGGTCCCCCCAGTGGGGGGTTCTCTGCTCATGCTGCCAAGTTCAGCTTTGTGAGAAAGCTCACTGCCTGGGCTCTCTGGAGTGCGACCGACCAGCGCTGGCGGAACTGGTGGAGCATCTTCGCGGACTGATAGGTAGATGGGTCCACATTGAAGATTCTCCGTGCAGCTTTGTCCGCCAGCAGCTTCAGGAAGGTGGGCACCTCGTTGCAGGGGCAACCGTAGGTTTCTACCGCCAAGGGAACAAACCCAGCAAACTCCGCCCTGCCGTGATAGAGGTCTATCTTCTTGTCTGCTGCCTCCCGCGCTGCCCAACCCCTCCCCTTCCTTGCAGTCTCATCCCGCTTACTGATGGGATCCGTTATTGTAATGTCCGCTAGCCACACCGCCCCTGAGCTCCCATCCCTAAAGGCCAAATCGGCCTTCTTGTTGTCCACCGGGCTAAAGGCAGTGCACTCCTTGTGCACAGCATATCCTGCATCCTGTGCCATGCAGATGCACTCATCACGGAGCTCGTTGTGAGTGTTGGTCCGGCCGTGCCCAGTACCGCATCGGAGGAGGTGATTCGGCAGTCTCTTATCCAGAATGGAGACTCGTTTGCTGCAGTCACAGCAGTAAGGCACAGAGAGCGGCAGGCCGAGGCAGAACTGTAGTGCGAACGTGAAGTGGCAGGGGTATAACCGTAGGGCTGGCATGTAGGGGATTGCCATGAGCCAGTCACCCACCCCGTAGCCTGTGAGGGACATGAGGCGTTGGGTGTGGCCCAGCAGGGGGTTCAGCTCCATCTGCCTGGATGCGGTAATCTGGGCGGCACTCCGGCCCCCTTGGACTAAGAGAGCGAGGCGGTGCAGTAGTTGGCCCTTAGGTTTTGCCCGCTCCGCCGAGATCAGGTCCCTCCCCTCCTGTGTGATGCTGTCACTGCAGCCCTGGATCCACCTCTGTAGTTCGTTGGGGCTGTTGTCGGCTGAATTGGTGCTGTCCAGTGCTGCTGCTAGGGTGGTTCTTGCTTGCCCCCCCAGACCGCCGAGTAGCGTGTGGGCTTGCACGAAACTCGCCAGGAAGCTGTATCGGCCCTCCACAGCAGGGTCAGCGAGGCCCAGGCCGCCTAGGCTCGGTGGGAGGGAGGCTTGGTCCCAGATTCGACTGTCCTCTGCGTCACCCCTCGGGTGGCGTACCCCGCAAGCGTCGAGAAGTGTGTACAGCAGCGCCCGTCCCCAGCTTGACCATTCCGCCTCGGGTAACAGGTACAGCGGGGTGGTGCGTGCTAGGTAGGAGATGCGCCTGGAGATGCATCGTGTTAGTAGCAGCGCCGCCACCTGGGGATCCATTGCTGCTAGGTGGGGTAGCGGGGATGACATTGTCTCCAGATGGGACCGCAGGAAGGCCGCTGCACCCTCTGCCAAGCCGATGAAGCTTCCCAGCAGTCTCAATCCCTCCGGGCGCAGCGGGACGCCCTCGGGCAGCTGCTAGGGGTCTGTAACTGCAGCGCTCCATGCGGCGCACTTCCCTGGGTTGTGGGTCAGTCCCACGTCGCGTAGTCCTGCCGTGAAGTGGCGGAAGGCGTCGGAACATTCAGGAGCCGGGCCCAGAAATGTGATGTCGTCCGCGACAGCTAGGCACAATACAGACGGGTAGGCCGCCGCTGTCCTAGTGAGTATGGGGTGTATTCCAGCCACGAATAACAGTGGGCCGAGCGGGTCGCCTTGTCGTATGCCTGTCTCGCTGGTCAGCGCCTCGCAACTGAACCCCGCGTCGAGGAACAGCTGGGCTGGCATACTGTAGGATGCCTTGATCAGGGGGATCAAGCTTTCGAGTTTGGTGTCGCGAAGCGCGCTGACAACGGCTGCGCGGCTAATGGAGTTAAAGGCGTTCGCCAGGTCCGCCTGCAGAATAAGCGCGTCGGGGTTTGCGCTGGTGAATGCTCTGGCGGCATGGATTATTGCCTCGCTGCCGCCTTGGACGGATACGCAGTACTGTACCGGGAGGAAATGCGCGTGGCACTCTTGGGAGAGGGCTGAGCGGGCAGACTTAGCAGCTAAACGGAGGATACACTCTCCCACTGCTATCGGTCGAGTGCCACCGTCTGGCTTGGCTAGTGCTATGAGCCGGCTAGCTTTTAGTAGCGCGCAGATCTCGTCAGGCAGTTTGCCTCCTAAGATTGTGTTGACGAGGGCGTGGAGGTGTGTGGTAACCCCCGCATTAGCGAGTGATGCATCACGCAGGTGTTCAAATGTCATACCAGACGGTCCCCCTCCCACCCCGTTCTCGCAGTGGCACAACATTTTTATGAAGTCTCCTTTTTCGATCGATGCCGCTTGAACAGTATCGGGGATGTTCCAATCGATGATTCCAGGTGGCGCGTGGGGGTGTTTTGCTTTGAGAGCGGCGAGAATGGTTGCAGATGGGTCGGCGACCGGCATTGACTCGAGGGCGAGGATCGCCCTGCGAAGGCTTCCTTTTCGCGCGAGGCCTTCTGCCCTGGCACGTTTGCCAAGGGCATCTGGCGTATGACGAGGCGGGTGTGGTCCAGTGATTGCGGGAACTGCCGAGTCGTAAAGCTGCTGCCATTCGCCTTTGTTGAATTGGCGAAGCCGGCACTTGACAGCCGGCCAATCGGGCTTCTTCGTTGAGGGGAGGCGAAGGGTAAGTCGCGGGATGAAGAGTAACAGGCGCCAACCGGCGACTGAACCAGGGTTACACGCGAGGTGGAGTAGTGGTGTCAGGAGGGCTGTGGCGAAAAGCGGGCGAATGTCAGCAGGGAGTTTGTGCGAAAGTGGGGGCTGACGACTGTCGCATAAGGGAGTCAGATCCCACATTTCAACTTCGCCGAACCACACTGTGTCTCTGGCCAGTTGCTCAGGGGAAAATCGGCGGGTCTCTGATGCGGTGGTGTCCGGTTCCTGCAGGTTAGGCTCCCCACCCGGGGCAGCTGAGATTGGAGCGGCTTGGCGTGGTACTGGCCGTGCCCGGCTTCTACCTTCTCGTTCCTCTTCCTCTAACTCCCCCGACTCTTCCGTGGTGGACTCCTCCACCACCGCAGCTATAAACGTAGGATCATCTGCTTCTTCCTCAGCTTCCGTTCGATCAACTCTTCGAGTTAAGGCCTGGCGTGCTTCCCTCTGGAAGCCATTCTCTGGTCCGCCTCCCCTCCCAGTCGCTCCTCCTCGCCCGCCGCCTCGTCCGCCGTGCGATGCCTGTATCGATAGGTGACGATTATTATTCGTATTCGCCGCGGCCCTTTGTCATGGCGTCGGCTGCAGTAGCCCTTCCGGCCTTATCGTCCCCGGCGCCGGCGGCTGTGGGGATGTCGCCTCTTCCCGCACCTTGATCTGCGCCGTCATCCGTGACTCAGGCTGGTCCTGTCCTTGCGCCTGCTGCGGCGCCAGTTCCCATCGTGGCGTTGCTGTCTGTGCCTGCCGTGGCATCTGATCCTGCGCCCGCGTCGTCGCCCGCTCCAGCGCTCGCCTCAGCGTCTGCTCCTGTGCCTGCTCCTGGGCTGGCTGCGGCGTCCGATCTTGCGCACACTCCTGCGTCCACGCCGGTAGTTCCACCTGTCCCCGTGGGGATGTCGGCGCCCGTGCCTGTAGTCGCGGTGTCGTCTGCTGCTGTTGGAGTAGCCTCCGTGCCGCCACCGGTTGCGCCTGTCGTGGAGCCTTCTGCTGCTGTTGCTGCGGACCCGACTTACCGGCCACCTCCAGCCACCACCGCCGGCCTGAGCTCGGCAGAGGTTCAGTCGACTCGCGTGTCGCCTCTGGTTGCTCCTGCCTCTCTGCCTGCGGCGACACCAGCGCCGCCTCCGACCGTCCAGGCGGGTCCTGTTCCCGCACCCCTTGCTGCCGTTCCCCCTGCTCAACGTCCTCCGTCCCCGGGTCGTTGGCAGCATTAGCCTCATTCCCCTGTGCCACGTGACGAGCGGGAGACATCGCAGCGGCGGCACGATTCTCCTCGGCGCCGTGGTTCGCAGGCGAACTGGGCTGCTCCCCGTGGCGGCCGAGGAGGCTGGTGGGGAGGGCGTGGTCGCGGTGGCGGCTGGGTGTATGATCAGCCGGTGACAATGGCCGACTTGCAGCAGGTTGTGTCTGACGCGATGTGCGAGGAACGGAACGGGCAGGCGAGCCTGAGCAATTCGCCGCGCGTCGCTCCTGCGCCGGTGTCACTTCCTCCAGCTGCGCCCTATGCGCCTGCACCTCCTCTTCCCTCGTCTGCCGCTCCTCCTCCTCGTGCTCCCGTTGCATCTGCTGCTGCTCCTGGGAACCGTCTGCGGCTGCCATGGGTTCCTCCTGTGGCGGGCGTGGAGTTCGTGACCGCGGGAGGGGGACCGGTGACACCGCAGTATCCGTCTCTACTGCCCGTGGATCCTGCTCCTCCGGCTGCTGATTTTCCGGTACAGTCGCTGGTGGGGCCATCTCCTTCGGCGGATGTGCCTGAGGCGTCGCTGGGGCAGCTTTGGCGCCTCTTTGAGGGTTTGCGGGCCGTTCACCTGATCTAGGTGTATTGTCACGCGGCACTGTCTCGCGGCGTGCCTCTGGTAGGCGGCCCTCTGGAAGAGTGCTCGGATGCCGCTGACCGGCTTGCCGAGCTCCTTGCGCCCGTGTTGGCTGCGCCCGCGCGGGGTGGAGTTGCGGGCGTTGGACAGCTTGGGACTGCGCTCCGTGGTCTGTGCCGGGTGATGCGCGCAGCGACTGCAGTCGACCTGATCGGCGCAACCACTGTGGTGGTGCGCGAGCTTCATCGCTCGTTGACGGGGCTCCTTGCTGTTCTTGACGCGGATCAGATGTAGTTTCTGCCGATGCCCCCGCCATCCTTGCCATAGGACGTAGCGTTGCCTAGGCCGTGGCCGTTGTTGACATTGCTTGTATGCCTGATTATAGCTTTGTGTGCGCTGACACTTGCCACCCCTAGTGCGCGGCCGAAGGCCGCGCTGTCGAGCGTCGGCCGCCGAAGGCGGCCGGCGCGAGCCGCTCGGTTAGGAGAGAAACCCAACCAAGAACTGAATAATGAAGAAGCCACAAGGCCTGCTGAGGCCTTTATACTAGGACTAGGGAGGCTAGGGAGGCTTGAGAGGCTAAGTCACTAGGTGCCTCTCTCTCTCTCTCTCTCTCTCTCTCTCTCTCTCTCTCTCTCTCTCTCTCTCTCTCTCTCTCTCTCTCTCTCTCTCTCTCTCTCTCTCTCTCTATCTATCTATCTATTATGATCTCTTTCACACACACACGTGCATGCACGCACGTGCGCGCGCGCGCACACACACACACACACACACACACACACACACACACATCACACACACTGTCTTGCACCGACCCCCTCCCTCCCCCCCTTCCCTTCCCCACCTTCTCCCTCACTATTCCTCCTCCGACTCCCCACTGGCTGTCACGCCCCTGGATTTGCACGCACATTCACCTGCTGCCCGCTCGCCCCTCTCCTGTCCTCCACTCTCCTCCCTTAATCTCCCCAAACCCTCTGCTGCATATGAATCCCTTCAGGCACGAGCGCTTCACCACACAGTACAGAGCAGTTTTTGCAGTCAACTGTGCAGTGAACACGTCCCAGAAACTGGTGATGCCATCAGGTAAAGACGGAAGCAGCAAGAAGCGCAAGGGCAGGGGGAAGAGTGGAGGGGCAAAGGAGCAGGGGAGCACCGGTGGGGGTGGCGAGGGAAGTGTGATTGGTGGGGAGGGGAGTGCGGGAGGTGAAGAGGAGGTGATGCATCCAGTGATGTGTGAGACGTGTGGGACAGAGGTTGGTGTGTTTGATGCCAAGCAGCAAGTGTATCATTTTTTCAATGTCTTGCCAACCAATTGCTGAAATTGCCATGTTAGTGATTTGCATTGTTGGGCTTATCCAACATACACGGTAAATCACAATGGTTCTGAGAATGTTCAGGCCAAAGGGCAGGGCTTACATCAGCAGTTGGAACGGCGATACCGGTAAGGGCTTTATGCAAACAATACTAAGGAACAAATGCATACTCATTAATGATTTTTTCATCACCGCTCTGAGGAGCAAAACTAATTGAGGGAGTATGGAAAGGAACATCGTACCATGGCTATACACAAGAATCATGCATCCAATAAACAATTTGTGGAATTGCACCAAGCATGATGTAGGTACGGTACCATACCATGCATAGGACTGTATAAGTTACTAAAACAGTTACGGGCTCATAGCCTCACATCGAAGAACGGTTCTAGAAGCAGCACACGCCCTCGATGTCTGGTTGGGCTGGCGCCGTTTTCGCTATAATCACAAGCAGCACATCTGACGGCAATCCAGCAAGGAGCTCCCCCAGCGGGGGAGCAGCTTGAACCCCTTCGCGCCCGACAGGCAGGCCCTGTTGGAGGGAGGCGCACGCGGGATGAATATAAGTTCGTTAGCACGAGGACCGTAATACGTTAGAGCGCATTGGATTGCTTATTGATTCGCGTTACGAGGATAGGGAGCGCACTGGATCGCATTACAGAGAAAAAACTGGCTGTGCTGTAAGCTGGCGTCACATCTGCTCGTCTCGTCTCACCTGCGGGTGCTGCTGCTTCGTTGTTCTGTTGCAGCAGAGGAGCAACGCAGCCACGAACCCTCTGAATTCCATCGGAAACCGATAGTGCGATGCCGTTGTCCACGGAAGCACCTCCGGACGCTTGATGATCATCTCGCTCCGTGACGAATCCTGCGGAAAAGCCAACTGTGGTAAACGCAAAATTGGAATATAGTGGAGGACGGTTGGAGAACTAAGTTATACCGCGTTCACAAGAGGGAGGTGGGAAGGGAGGACAATATAGGTGAATTAAATGTGACATTTGTTTATACGAAATATGCGGTGACTACGAAGAACGAGCGAAGAACTGAACATTAGCGAGCACAGGTGTCGACGAATGAAATGAAGTACTGTTCCGGGAGAAAATGTTTCGTACAGCTCTCTTGCCGACAACGAACGGCTCGTGGGTTGCCTCGTCGCGAAACACCCACGGGTGCTGCACGTACGTATCCTGCCTGCACACGTGGCCCGGCTGCAGACACTCGTACGGGACCTGCGCGGCGGGAGACAAAGGCAATGCGACGGGAGAAACCGAGCACATGGAGTAAGACACCAGGGCGTTTGGGGTAGAAATGATTCGGATAACGACGTCGAGTCGGACACGCGAAAGCGTATGGTATCTCACACATAAACATGGTATCAACGAATAATCGAAAGAGAAACGACGGATTGAGACGGACCTCCATTCCGTCATAGTCGACCCAATATGATTGCACAGCAGTGTCGGTCGCATTTCGGAAAGTAATCACCGTCGGCTTCGTGCTCGGTCCCGAGCACACCGGCCAGACTACCGGCCTCCGGCGAGAATGGCCGGCGCTGCTGCCGGTTTCAGGTTGAGAATCCCGCGCCTCTACATTCGGAGGGTAAGTCCCAGCGGCTTGATCAGGAACAAATGACGGCGCTTCTTCCCCGATTGGACGGCTGGTTGCGGTGCTGCGGTTCGCGGGAAAGCTGACTCGGCCTTCCGGGGGGTAGGAGACTGCGGGCGGGATTGCCTCGAATAAGTCGGCCTCCATAGCTTCTTGGCCTTCGAACGGTCGTCGGCGTCTCAGAACGGACATTACGGAGCGGAGAGCATGGAATAGGTTCATCTCCTCGTGGTGGACTCTTCTACGCAGTACGAAACGCCGCGCACGTCCCTCCAGAATGACTGCTGAATGCTGTCACACAGCTTCACGGGCAAAACCAGGAAATCGCGCAAGTGCTTGTAATACGATGAACGAGCTTAGACGAACTGGTTGATGCAGAGACGTTTTGCGCGTCTATTCCTTATACCCCATCTACACGCCATGGTCATCCGACGATGTCAGGACTCGTTTGCGTGGCGTGATAGACGCGCCTAGCCTAGGCTGGGATCGTGGCGTGACTGAGTCAACCAAGACGAGGGATCTGGGCTAGGCTGGGGAACGGGGAAATCAAGTTTACTGATACCGACCAGGCAGGCGTGGTCCTTACGTGAGCCGAGCGTGTTTGCTAGAGGCTTGGATCGAACTTGGAGGGGCAAAGTTGTGATGGGGGTTCGGAACGGTGTGGAGGTTTTTGGAGAAATCTGTCTAAGGACGCGGTAAAAGTGTGAATATCGCAGGATTATTTTTGTACTGTGCTACAATTTTTTCGCTCGTTCGAGAGAGTGAGAGAGAGAGAGAGAGAGGACCCTAGCCTCTGCTCTCTTCCCTCTGCCCTCTTCCCACTGCCTCCCTAGCCTATATAAGGGGCCCTTTGGGGTCCCTCTTCCTCATTATTTGTGTGGTGGCTGCAATTTTTCGCGAAAAGCTCACCGCCTGAGCTCACCGCCACGCAAATAATTGCAGCCACCACACAAATAATGCTCACCCTGCTTCCCACTGCTTTGTGAGAAAGCTCACCGCCTGAGCTCTCTACAGGGCAATCGACCACCGCTGGCGGAACTGGTGGAGCATCTTCGCTTGAAGAATTTCCGTGCAGCTTTGTCGGCCAGCGACTTCAAGAAGGCAGGTACTTCCTTACAGGGGCAGCCGTAGGTTTCCACTGCCAAGGGGAAGAACCCCGCAAACTCTGCCCTGCCATGATAAAGGTCAATCTTTTTGTCCGCTTGCTCCCGGGCTGCCCAGCCCCTCCCTTTCCTTGCTATCTCGTCCCTCTTGCTGATAGGATCAGTGATTGTGACATCTGCCAGCCATACCGCGCCCGATTTCCCGTCCCGAAAGGCCAGGTCGGCCTTCTTGTTGTCGACCAGGCTGAAGGCGGTGCATTCCTGGTGCACCGCAAACCCTGCATCCTGCGCCATGCGGGTGCATTCGTCGCGTAGCTCGTTATGTGTGTTGGTCCGGCCATGCCCCGTACCGCATCGGAGCAGGTGGTTCGGTAATCTCTTGTCTAGAATGGCAACTCATTTGCTACAGTCACAGCATTCGGGTACGGAGAGCGGCAGGCCGAGCCGGAACTGGAGAGCGAATGTGAAGTGGCAGGGGTATAGCACTAGGGAGGGCATATAGGGGATTGCTTGAAGCCAATCTCCTGCCCCATAGCCCATGAGGGACATGAGGCGTTGGGTGTGACCTGACAGGGGATTCAGCTCCATCTGTCTGGATGCGGTTATCTGGGCTGCACTCCGGCCCCCCTGGACTAGGAGGGCAAGGCGGTGCTGTAGCTGGCCCTTGGGTTTGACTTGTTCTGCTGAGATGAGGTCCCGAGCCTCCTGCGTAAGGCTGTCCCTGCAGTTCTGGATCCACCTATGTAGTTCGTTGGGGCTGTGGTCGGCTGCTTCGGGGCTGTCTAGTGCCACTGCCAGGGTGGGCCCTGCTTCGCCCTCCAATGGTTTGAGGAGTGTGTGGGCCTGCACGACACTCGCCAGGAAGCTCTAGCGGCCTTCCACGGCTGGGTCAGTGAGGCCTAGGCCGCCCAAGCTCGGTGGGAGTGATGCCTGGTCCCAGACCCGCTGTTCCTCCACCTCGCTCCTTGGGTGACGCACCCCATAAGCGTCCAGGAGGGTGTAAAGCAGGCCCCGGCCCCACTTTGACCATTCTGCTTCGGGTAGCAGGTATAGGGGTGTGGTGCGTGCTAGGTAAGCTATGCGTCTGGAAATGCAGCGAGTTAGTAGCAGCGATGCTACCTGGGGGTCCATGTGTGAGTGGGCAAGGTGGGGCCGGGCCACCTTGCCCACCCGATGTATTTCCACGGTTATATCCATCGTGCTGCTACTGTGGTTCGCGGGCCGTGCCTGAAGTTTCTCTTAGCAGCGTTGGTGGCCAGCAGGCGGAAGAATCGTACCGTGTCGGTCGCTAGCGCTCCATAGGTCTCAACCGCCAACCCTAGGAACCCCACATATGAAGGCCGCACCTCATACAGCTTGTGCTTCCCTAGGCTTGCCTCCTCTGCCGCCCACCCCAAGCATCTCCTGCCCTCTAAGTCTCGCCGCTGTAGTACTGGGTTTGTAACAATGACATCAGTAATCCAGGTTTCTGTCGTCTCACCATCGCAAGGTCTGCCCGCTTCCTGTCCACTGGTAGGGAGTAGACCGTAGTCTCGTGCAGCGTCATGTACTTTGCCTCATTCGCCATGCGTAGACATGCGTAGACCAGGGCGTTGTGCGTCCGTGTCCGGCCCCCACCCTTGCCGCAGCGTAGGAGGTGATTGAGTAAGCTTTTGTCGGTGATGGCGGACCTTTCATGGTTGCACGGACACTGTTCTGTGATTGGTAAGGCAAGGCCTAGACGCAGTCCTAGCGCCATGGAGAATTGCCCGTGGGAGAGTGTAAGGTCTGCACGGGTAGGGATTGCGTTCAACCAGTCCCCTGCACCCGTCCCTTCTTGATGCCCATTGTCGACACCCGGTTTGTCTATTCTGGTGTCTGCAATCAGCTCCCCCGCTCTCGCCTTGTTGATGTGGTTAGACAGTAGCAGCTGCAAGTGCTGTTTGCTATTTAGATTGGTGCGGTAGTCATTCAAGACCAGCCGTGCCTGTTCAAGTAGACGTCCCTCCAATTCGGCCAGCGTCGACGGCTCTCCTTGGTCTGGGTTGAGGGAGAGCAGTGACACAACTCGGCCGAGGGAGTGATCCCTAGGAGCGATCAGCTACTGTAGTAGCTGTTGCAACGCTGCTACTGAAGACAAGTACGCTACTGGCGCTTATGAGACCGGGTCAATGAGGCCTAGGCCTTCGAGTCCGACGGGAAGGGTCGCCTCCCGCCACGTGAGACTCTGCTCCATTTCGATGGTCGGCCAGTGCAGTTTGGCGCTTCCAATTCCGTTCGAAGCAGTCTTTCACTCCAGCCTCTCCATTCCGACCGTGGGAGAAGTTGTGCCGGGGCTGTCCGCAAGATATAGGAGATCCGCAAGATATACGAGATGCAGCGGGACAAGAGGAGGCATGCGTGCTGGGGGTGTAGCTGGCTGATGAGATCGCAAGAAGCGGCTGCATTTGTCAGGCTGTTGCGTAGGAAATGCACCGCCCACTGCAGTGTTCCTATAGGGCTACCTAGGACTCTGATCCCTCCTGCGGTTGCCAAAATGCCTTCCGGGAGTGTACCTTTCTTTTTTAATGATTAATGATAGATATACACCGAGATGAGCAAGCATATATCATCATAACGGTCGTAACCGCGCGTGAGGAACAGAGGTTGAGCTACTGTTCTAGATGAGATATCTATGGATGGGAGGTGCTTGCCCTCCGCCTGGACCACAGTGAGGCGAACGCACTTGTCCACTTCCAGCTCTTGCCAGCCAATTTGATCTTCCCTAGCATGTTCTGCTCCCCAGTAAAATTCCTCCGATGTCGTTCATGTCGAACCGTGCCAAACTTGCAGGTGTAGATGCGTGCATGTTGCCTGAATGCGAACTCGATCTTGTGGAGGACCCGATTCGTGCGAAACTTCTGGCCTCGAAAAACTGCTTCGCACCTTTCAACCCACAGTTGATGAAATGCGATGGATGTGAAGGTCAGGTCCAGAAACGCTGAGCTGGACCCCGTTTTCCGGAACAGTAGGTCGCCGAGCGTGGCTGTGGGATGGTTGGGATTTAGCATGCGCACGGCACGCCTGAGAGCGGAGGTGATCGTCTGGATCCGAGGGCAGCGAAGGAGGCAGTGGTCCAGAGTCTCCTCCTCCCCACAGTAGGGGCAGGTTGGTTTCCTGATGAGGAATGCAAGACGCTCCCCCACTTGCAAGTTTAGGCCGTGGATTCGGATGAGGACGTCACGTGGACGGCTGGAAACTGACAGCGTCTCGTGTTGCCACCACCCGCTTCCAGTTGATGTGCCTCCCCCACCTTCTTGCCCACTTCTCCCTTTTGCGCGATTCCTGGTATGCCGCTTTCCAGCACTCCCTCATCCTCTTGATGGAAATCACCTCCCCCCCATCCAGAATGTTCAGTGGGGGGGTAGAGCCAGCCGAGCAGGGAGGGGCTGAAGGGAAACCCAACAGTTGCAACCAGTACGCTGGCACAGAGGTCAGTGCTTTCACCGCCAGTCTCGCCGGACCGCTTCCGCCTAACTGCCGTGAGAGCTCCTTCTGCTGCTTCAACACTGGCTCACCGCCATTTTCCGCCAGCAGCTCCCCCACACGCACTTCCCAGAGATTTTTACTATCCTTCTGCCCGCGGACGGGCGTTTGAAGCAAGGACGCTTTGTTGAAAACCAGCCGCCCCTTTAGTACCGCTTCTCTGCTGACCGCCGCTGGCCGGGCGCAGAGCGGGGAGTTGATGAAGTTATCGCACGTTTGCTTCCATCTCATGCTCTTCCCCTTCCAGTGTTTCAACAGATTCGCGTGCGAAGAGAAGGTGTCATCGCCCAGGGGTAGATCTGCCGCCTGCAACATGATTGCTTTCTTCATGGGGTTCCGTTCCATAAGATAGAGGCCCACCCTCCTGGCGGCGAGACAGGTAATCACTATCTTTGGGTCCTTCACACCGATACCGCCTGCCTCCCTTGGAGTGTATAATAGCGTCCTGCTCTAGAGAATAAAGCCCTTCACCGTCGCAACGCGGTTGCCTGAAGTGAAGCTCTGCAGCAACCTGGTAATCTCCTCCCATATGTCCGCCGG